CCAAAAACTTGCGCAGAAGAAATAACATCTATGTGCAATATTTATTCTCATTAAAAAATGTCGATAAAACACGATTTGCGTAATTAATAAAAAACCAAAATAAATGTTTTAAAATTGCTAAAATTTAGTGCGTTCACAGCGCTTTTTTTTTTAATATGATAATATTTTTAATTATATTCTGATTCTTTTTTCACTTTTCACAATTTTTGAATAGACGAATTTTTGAATTGAGTAAAGTTTTCATGAGGTAGGTTAGGTTAGGTTAGATGGCTGATCTCTGAACATGGCGGAGGATCACACTTACACTCTTATGTACAGTCCTTTGTGAAGCCAGATGACAAACTCCTGTGGTTGGATATCAGCTATCGGCAATGCGTTCTAAACCTATTACAAATCTGCTTATGTGCTAATTTTCTATTTCCGCTATTTCACCTGAATGTCTAAAAGTAATAGATCCGAGATGTTTTTGCCTTGATCTGGCAAAAGCGGAACATTTGAGGCGGAAGGTTGATATGATTCTATCTCATATTCTTCTAAGCAGCTGATCCAACTTTACCATATGAATTCCTATCGGATAGTGTACAGTTAGAACTCCTACAACCATTGAAAGGTGGACCTTGCAACTGCGCAGTTGCTAGTAGTTGACCAACGCTTGTTGAGTTGTTCTGAGGCCTAACAATCCAGTAGTGAACCACAAGAAGCCAACGGAGCAGTTATTGAGAACCCGTTCTGGCAAGCTCAAAGACCTTGCAGTTTCCTGCAATACCGTTGTGGCCAGGCACCCAAACCAGTCTAATCATGTAGTAATCCGATGCTAGAGATAAGGAGTTTGGACATCTCTTCACTAGTCTTGAATGCACAATCAATCAGATTGAGGCTAATATAGCTGTTTTACTATCGAAATGAAAAGTCACCACACTGTAGGAGTATTTAAATCCATGTATTTGATAGGTTAGTTTTTGGCTCACCCTACTATGCATATATAATACATTTGTGTATGTACATATACACAATAATTTGTATGCACGTAAACTAATTTTTATGACGCTTATCACTCTGCAAATATAATTTATGCGATTAGGCGCAACGTGAGCTTCCATACAAGTCAAAACCCGCGCGCTATAATTACACTGTACAATACTCGGCTGGGTATTGGACCAAACCAACTTTTTTTGGAAGATGCAGGTAGTAATTAATTTCTTCGCCTTTCGAAGTTAACGCCCGAAATCTGCATATCTTCGAATTTAGTATTACTTCGAATTTGGTAATTGAGTTTATGAAAATACTTTCTTTTAATGTCAACGGCGTATAACATTTTTCGATGAAGCTCATACTTGTATTGTATGACAGTCGGGTCTTTGTTTTTGAAATATAAAACAATTCCTTTTCAAAGATCCGACTTTGAAGCCCTGCAGCACGTCTTATATACTATAGGCTTGTTCAAAAAAAATTATATACCATTGAAATAAAAGTAAAAGTTAGATGATGTCGCTATCTTTGGTGTTTTAGGAACTTACATACTATTGTACAATATAATTACTATTAATTGTTTTCAATAAGCTCAGTTTCGAAATTTGATTTTGCAGACTTAGTTTTGAAAATGGAGAAACCATTTTTTTCGTTATAATTTAATCTCGCGTCATTTAGAAAATTATAGTGTATAAGTACAACGCTTATCCTATCGCATTTATTTGAATAAAGTCTCAATTACTCTGAGTAAATTTGTAGTTAATTGTTTACCCATTGGAAAATTATAGCCTGAATGTCGGCATGGTTTTTCAAAACAACGCAAAACATTCAATCTTTTAAAAAAAAATGTGTTTGGTCCAATGTCCAGTAAAAAAGTCGATTTTGCCGCATAATGGTATTAATATATATTATTTGTTTGTTTTTGGCTTTAATATTTCACAAGTGTTAAATATTTAAAATTATAGTCAAGTCCTTGACCGCTGTTATCACACCGCACTTGGGTGGCAAAAGTATGATTAATAAAAAAGTGAATGACTTGTTTGATGTGTGATTGAGTGAAAGATTATTTCTTATAATTTGGCTATAAAAAAGTTACTTTACAATACTATATTAATATTTGATATTTTTGCTAATCTCTTATGAGTAAATTTTGAATTTTTCATGCCCGTTGTAGTTAATTTAAAAGAAATTGCATATAGTCTAGATACCATATATAGATTTTATCGATTCACCATGCGTTAGAGACTAGCGAAATAAACAAAATATGACAACTGTTCAAATACACCGGCAGCATGAAAAAGAAAGGCGTTTTACGATGCAACATGCATCGAAGCTATATACCCTTCATCGGTCGATTTGTTATAGCAACTATATATATGTATGTCTAAATCTGAAAACGTAACGTAACGGTTTGCATGCAACGGAAAACGTTTTACTGGCTCATTCTTGCCACGTTTTTGATATAAACAACCTTCAAGTCGAAGTAAGATTACTTAATAAGGAAAAAAGATTTCCTACGAAAATGTTTGTTTTGATTTAGATCGGTCAGTTTGAGTGACAGCTATGTATATGCTATAGCGGTCCGAACTAAACCATTTGGAGTACGTAGCGTTGCCTTGGAAAATAGTTTTTGCTAAATTCTATGAAAACATCTCGTCAAGTAAAAAATTTTACCATATAAGGACTTGATTTTAATCTATCAGTTTGTATGTTAGTTATATGCTAACGTTTAGTGATACCATATCGGTGATTCCGATAAATTAGCAGTTCCTTGGCGTGAACAAGACGTGTGCATAATTTAAGAACGATATCTTGAAAACTGAGTGGCAATTTGGCGTATATGCAGACAGACAGATATAGCAAAATCGCGCTCAGCTTGTAAGGCCGTTCATTTATATATGAAGCGACGTTTTCTTGTAAGTATTTCAATGGTATTTCAGCAAAAAATTTCTTTTTTAATATTTACAAGTTGAGAAAGAGCTCATGAAGTAGACTTACTCTCCGCTTTATATGGAATTTTTATAAGCACTTCGTTACTCGCAGCAAAATGGAACCCTACAAACGTATACACTTTGTATGCCTTACGGTTTTTTTTTAATTTTTCCAGAGAATTTCAAAGTTCAATAAACTGACATTAGAAATAAATATTATGTTTCATTAATCTCAACCAAATTTAGTTTTAAATGTATGTATGTATGAACAGATAGATATGTTATAATATATACTCATGCGCGTGCTTTATGTAAATGAGTGATTAAGGGAAAGGAAAGTGCTTATCAATTTAAAAGAAATCTAGATTTTTATATTATACTCAAGATTCGTTGATAGAATTTCAAACACTTGCACTTCGCACATTTTAATATACGCATAAATATTACATATTTTTTTTTTTACTATCTAAGTATGTTTAATCTTTAATTTAATAAATACAAATTAATTTATTTTAGAATTTGTAACACCCAGAAGGAAACGTCGAAGCCCTTATAAAATATATATATATAAATGAGCTGAATGATGAACTGGTCAATTTAGCCATTTCCGTCAGTCAAGTTTGACACGAATTATTCTTGTAGGCAACAACACAATCCCCGAAGAAATTATTTTGTTCGGATTACTATAAACATATGTCATACAAACTGACCGATCGAACTCATGATAAATATCTTTTTCTACCCTTTTAAGCTATAAAAAATGTACCTGTGAATGATATTATAATATATATCGCTCCTTCGCTTTTTGGTCCTTCGCTTTCATATATTTTTCTTATTTTTAGGAAAGAAAAATTCATATTTCAGCATTTATTGTTTGGAAAAAAATATCTTGTCTCTTTTACCATAATTGTAGGAAAATTAATTCTCTAGGTCCAATCCATTTTACTTTGTTATATCGACCTTCTTCAGTATTTCTCGAGTAATTATTTAAGAGTATTGCACAATAACTTAGAACAAAACGAATGAACAAACTGACATCGAGAGTTAGCAGGTAAAATTCTCGACGTCAATGAAAATTCTAGTTTAAAAGTATAACTCTTATGCTATCGCGTTCATTTTTAGAAATCGTTATGTGAACAAAACTATTACACTCTTTAGGTATTCCAACCCGATTATTCCGAGTGAACTTGTTGTTAATTGTTTACCAATTGGAAAATTTTAGAATGAATGTCGGGAAGGTATTTCTAAATATTTAAAGCTTGAATGCATGTCGGAAAGTTTTTTGAAATCATTTGACCTTTGCAATCACTGTCGACTCTCTCGCACCACACGACCAATAACAAAATACTCAGCCTACTGCTGTGAGAAATGTGAGAGTTCATCTTTTTTTTCTTTTGGATTGGACAGATCACACATACTTATGTTAGGCAACGCAGACAATGGAAGCAGTTGACATTTAGAAAACCGTATTCTCTATTTCAGCAAAATTTTCTGGTTACCAGATCTCAAATGCCTACACCAGAGCCTAAGTCATTGTACTAACCGAAAGATACACTGTTGAAGCAAGCGGGTGCTGACAGCTCTCTGTATTAACGACAGTTTCGAGGGTAATTCACAACGGTTAATAATTTCCTATAGGGTATAGCAGAATGCGGAGTAACACAACAAATGAATATCATCAATGTTTTTTTTTTTTCAAGCATTTTCTATTAAGCGCTTAGTGATTAATCATAAGCAAATAATCAATTAGTGTAAAGAGCATTGTAAACAAGAAGCAATCTAGATGCACCAATATATATAAACATATTTTCTTTATCAACTAAAAGTCAGCTAATTAACGGCGTAAAGTAGAATGAGAGGAAAATTTTCTATGATAGCAGAGTGTTGCATTGGGCTTGATTAGCTGCTACGGAAAACACATTTTATAAAAAATCTAAGCAAATTTTATTAAATCGCTTTTCAATTCAAACTACTAATATGCATACTGTAAATATATATATTTTTTTTATATATGTATATATATATTTTTTATATATACACATATGTACATTTGCATATGAATACAAATTAAAAAAGAAACAATAGGTGAGAGATAAACGCATAAATACAAACGAGTTTATCAGTAAATGAAAGACAATCTATGCGGTATATCTCGACTGCTTATCAGTCGTAAAAGAGTCTTACGCGCTGAACCCTGGAATCGTTGCTTATCTCACGGTATTGCCGATTTTTCGCAGCATCAGCGGCTTAGATAGAGGTCAAGGGCTATCGTCCGCAAACATTTGCTAAACATTGTAAATGCAAGTGAGCTGTAGCGGCAATAATAACGGGATAGCAATAAGAATAACAATAGCAAAGTTGCTGGCAACGTCGTCATCCACGTATGTGTTATCACTGGCCGGTGACCTTAGATTATGCTGGTACTTTCGATGTTGGAGTACCAGCTATTGTCCAGTCGCTTTCATTTAGCATTGTAGTAGCGACCGCGGCGTTGAGAGTTACGGCTAGAATGCCTTGACGGACTAGATGTTTGGTTTCGAGAACCGCGTGAATATCGAATACAACTAAAATCGCCGACGATTTGTAACGTAAAAAAGTGTGGCACTAGCATAGTGTTTTGTTAGTATCTCTCTATATCTGAAATATATAGCATAGCGTAATGATGAATTTTCAAATATGCCGTTGTTGTTTGCGTGAAAATCCTGCTTCTACATATGGTATTTTCGATACAAATACCGTAAGTGATGGTGATAGTAATGATGATTGCAACGTTGACGGTAGCGAAAGTTTACGTGCCGCCTTACTGAGCTGTGCGCCGAATCTGCATGTTGAGCACAACGACGGATTGCCAGATGTGATTTGTGATCACTGTTTGGTACGTTTACGCGACGCAATGGAGTTTCGACGCCGTTGTGAGGAGAGCGAACGTGAATTGCAACGTCGTTACGCGGATACGGAACGTGCCATAGAAGAGGCGCTGCAGCTCATCAATACAATGAATACTAAGGGTCAACAAGGCGCCGCAGATTTGGGTTGTGCGGTTGGTCTGCCTTTAACTGGCGACTTGGGTAAGCGAAAGTTGAAAACGTTTTACTTGAACATACGTAAGCCTGATAGAAAGTGAAATACCACTCGTTTCTTAGGTCCAAATGAACTCGCCATGTTGGATGATCTCTTGCAATTGGAAGAGCACAACATCGGACCGCTGTCAGTGAGTAAGCAGCATATAGATAGAGCAGTAGAGGATATGCGTTTAGTCAACAATACGACAGAAATGAAAATACCAGCAGGCGACTGTGAACCGCATATAGTAAATGAAGAAGCACCAATTAGTCCGCAACATACCGACAGCTCTGCCTCGAATACGGACAGCTCTCAGGAGAGCGCGCCGAAATCATTACATCCCTGCCCCGAGTGTGAAAAGAAATTCACACGTAAATTCCAATTAAAATTACACATGATCTCCGTGCACAAGTTGGGCGATGGCCTGCAGTATGAATGCAAAGATTGCTGCAAAACCTTCGCTTCACGTCACAGTCTTAGCTATCATCAACGTTCGGTACATTCGGACGAGCGTCCATTTGCATGTACGCATTGCGATCGTCGCTTCGTTTTGCGCACACAACTCTCCTCACATCTGCGCATACACACGGGTGAAGCCAAGCCGCGCATTTTCCAATGCCCGGTATGTGACAAACGTTGGCCGACCAAATCGGTCTTGCGCACCCACATGCGCTCCCATGTCGTAACACAGGAGCGTCCCTTTAAATGTGATCAATGCGAGAAGGCTTTCTTTACGCGCGGTCATCTAAGTTCTCACCTGCTCGTGCATAGCGGTGAAAAGCCATTTTCGTGTCCCACCTGCGGCAAATCCTATCAGTGTGTGGGGAATTTGAACAATCATATGGCGCGGCAGCATGACTTCGAACGCAGCTTGGCACGGAGTCGAAGTGCGAATGTCGAGAGCGCTGAAATATAGTTTTAAATTTTAATATATAACATACTCATTTCTATTATTGTTATTATTATTATTAATATTATTAATATTATTATTAATATTATTATTATTATTAATATTATTATTATTATTATTATAATGATTATTATTATTATTGTACTACTAATTAATCGGTTTTTGTACTTACCATATTTTTACACTTTATATTGAGAATTGTTTGTTTTGAAGTATTAAACGGAGTGCCTTTTTTATGCCCATTATGTATTAATTAATCTAGTTTGTAGGTAGGTATAAGTTAGACATGACAGGTAGAACTCGAAAAACATTTTTCCCCAGTTAGAGAGTTATACCATACGATACTTATGTATATAATACCATCTGATCAAATATGAACCGGACTAGTTTCCTGATAATTGTTTTTTCGCCTCTGCTAAAGAGAAAGTTAAAGAAATTGTGCTTGAAAAGCGTGTTGGTGGCATCTAAGAAATAACAGCGGATCTTAATATCCCTTATAGATCGACTCAATCCATTTTCGTTAATGTTTGCTAAAACGAATACTTTGCTAAAACGACGGCAAGAAATGAAGAGATTGACGATAAAATGTATTTTTTGTCAGTCCGGGTAATATTTGATCAGCTGGTATACATTTTATAGTACCAATATTCGTTAATATTGGCATTGCCAAAAAAATATATCAGTTACAACCAACAAACGGATTCGGACGGCAAAAAACTTAGGCAAATTGTCTTCCAATATTTTCAAACGCCAGGAATTGGCAGAAGACACAAAGCCAGCATTAACAGTCTTCCAATATAATATGAATAATGGCGAATCTACTCACCATAATAAAGAATACACATACAAATAACTTTTACAAATTCGAAAAGGAAAACATAACAAAAACTTTTAGGATTTAATGGAATGCGTTATCAGACCAGTTCTCATACACTACTGAATCAATATCTGTTTTCAATAACAAAACGATATCTCTCATTCTCTGGCAAAACGTTTTGAACTATAAAAATTATAGCTCTGATCAGATTTCGGACTCCGCCAGTGCTCCGAACTACAACCACGCCAACCGCCCCTTGTACGCTTGCTATCCTCGGGACCGAAGACCGTTAAGCGAAATTAATTAAGCTACAAAACTCTTCACAAAGAAGCATAGTGAAGAGAGGCATCATAGATAGTGGATATAGGGGGCTACCCCTAAATTTTAAAGTACATATCTTAGAAACCACTACAAGTATATCAACCAAACTTAGTGGAAGTCTTACCGTGTGGAAACAGGTGAAATCGGATAATCACCAAGTCCATCCTCTATATAACCGATATGCTGACAATTACTAAAACAACGATAACTCACTGAAGTATAACCTCACGGGCAATAAATTTTGCAGCTAAAATTACTCAGAAGGACTGCTTGAGAATCGGTATAAAAGTTGGATAGTGGGCGTGGATTCAACAAATTATAGGAGAAATATCATACCTCAGCAACTACAGTACAAATTTCAACCGAATTTGGTGCATAGCGTTCTCAGAACAACCTTATATTATAGTTTGAGATTTGAAGTAATCAGACTACAACCACATTTACTTCCCAAATGTCACAATTTTAAATTCCCTATAATTCTTTCACTTTATAGTATATAAATAAAGCACCGATAAAGATATCAGAATAAAAATTTGCTAAAATAGTGTCTTTAATTTATGCCATCTCGCATCTAAAAATTATTGAAACCGAACCTTAACGTTTTCAAGACCCAGTTACCAAATATGCGAACCTCAGTGCTTATAGCTGGCTTTTTAACGAAAAAATCGGTTTATTTTTCAGACATCATAATGACCTTCTTTTTTCTCTTTTTTCGATAACAATTTAAACTTTTACTACATGTGCTTTAGACTCATTTAAAGACTGAAATTTTTTCAGTGGACTCTAAGCCGTATATACCAATCAAATTTTCAAATATCTGAATAAAGTCGCCTGAAAATATGTATGAGCTCGAGCATATTTTAGTTGAATACCAAAGTAAATGCTGTCAGCTCAGACTTTCACTTAGCCCCAAAATAACCGATATCGATCTCAGACTTTCCAGTTGACTTAATACTGTATATTATGGTCAATGTGTGTGATATTTCTATGAAATTCAGTAAACATGTTTTCTTTACCATAAAGTGACTAAGCGCTAAATCGGTCTAAGTTTGGTCTAGATCCCATACTCCTAATATAAGGATTTTCGCCTCTCTGTTTGTTTTTTCCTCCATATACTTAACAGCGACTTAGATATTATATCTGTTAACATTCTATTCTTCAGTAAAAAAAATTTTGGTTATCGGTACGTAACTATCCACGGCACTCATATTCTGAGTTGGTTATATTTATATGAATATAAATAGCTCGAAAACTAAGTTATCCTACTCATAAGTTAAGCTAGATACCAAAAATATTTAAGTGTGATCTATTCACAATTTCGTCCAATAACAAATTTTGATTTTTTTTCCAAATTTTTTTATTACGAAATTCCGCCAACTCCTGAAAATATGCCACAGTTGTGATCTTTAAAAATTGCGCGACTATTAAAAGTACGTCTACAACTTGTTCTTAAATAAATTATAGTAAAATGGAGGTTTTTTTCAAATACTTTATTAAGCCGAGATCATCTTAAAATAGTATTCGTTATCCAAGGCATAGCATCGGTGACATTTTCGTATGGATATGGTATTGAAGTTAACCTGCCACATTCTTTACTACCAAGGGAAACCAAACCAATTTGTGTATAACGTTTTTGCCAGAATTCGACATTCAAGTAACTGGTTGCCCAAAATATGGGGCTACCAGAATCGCCCTGACAAGAAACCGTACGATTTGCACCAGACATAACACAAATCTTCGATATGCCTATATTATATTTTGAGTATAATTTTTGACAAATATCCAAAGCTTCGAGTTTGACATGACCTGTCTGTAGAATATCAGATCCGCGCACTATATATTTATATGTGAAAAAGAATATTAGTATTTTATATAATAATATTTGCGCTGAGTTCTAAAACTTACCATCATTAGCTTCTGTTAGTCCCCAACCAGCTAACATTAAATCTTGTGTTGGCAACATAGCGTAATCACTTCGTGATGTGGGCAAACAAATTGGTTTGATATGATGGTGAACTTAAGGAAAAAATTATATTAAAATGTTTAATATTAATCAATATATAATTTTATTAATGAGAAATAAAATTGTGTATCTACCTTGAAAATCTATATCTCTATCAAGTTTTATCAAAGCAACATCTTTATATTTGCTCACGGTATCGTAGTCGGGATGTATAAACGGTTTCTGCATTGGATCTATACCAAAGTCTACATATGTTTGACATAAATTGATTGACAAACAATCTTCTTCGGTTGACAGGTCATGTTCGCCTAAGCGCACAAATTGTCTGCAAATATAGCGAAGAAAATAATACATTGTAGTAGTACATTACAAGCGTTGAAAAGGAATTTTGCATATGAAGTCTACTCATTGGATATAAGGAAATCGCTATACATATTGGTGGTATTGGGTATAGATTTAGACCGATTCATTAATTTTTGACGCAATAATATGACATGGTCTATCAATTGTGTTAACGTATTTAATTTCACTAAAACATCTCACAGTTTTATCGATATATACATATTGACCGATACATTTGGAATTTAGTCAACCAGTAGAACAAAAATCAGTTTATTAGGTGTATAGTGGCGTTTGAGAACCGATTTTATATTATATTTGCAGCACCAGAAAACATTATTAACAGCAAATGATGCCAACTTCAATGCATCAGGATATAACGCAAATTGACTGATATTTAGATTATAAAGTCAGCCATTGATTCGGAGTTACTCGTATTCAGTATATGCGGACTTGATATGTTATAATCCGATTTCAAACATTTTTACAGCAGACTTACTATAAAAACGCTACGTAAAAACGCTTTTCGTATCTGATGGAATCTAAATTGCTCTCATGTGGGTTGTAAACGTGGTTATAATACATTAGAAATTATTTTGAAACCGTAACAAACTGCAGCAAATTATATTGGTTCTGTAGTATTTCAGTTATGTCGCACCCATTGTTAGTTCTTAGTTTTAAACGAACAGAAGCAGAAGTGTATATAAAGTGTAAGCATATACTCGTATATAACAAAAAAGCTGCTCTTTTGTTGGACCACTGACATCGAAACACTGTAAAATATAGCTACGATACAAATTCATCGATCAAAATCAAGAGCTTGTATGTAAAATGTTTATTTGATAATATATAGAACAGTGCTACAATCACCGAACAAATTGTTCAGATCGGATAATTATAGGTAATAACTCTTTCACAAAATTTGGCATATGGACAATTTTCGAAGAAATTATTCTGTTCGAACCACTATAACGTTTAGCTGCCATTTAAACTGACTTATCAAAATCACGATAAAGATAAAGGATCTTGTATTCTTTTATGCTATAAGCAATGAACCTGTGAAGTGTATTATGGTTTCAGTCGAAGTTAACGATTTTTCTTGTTACGCTTTCATCTTAATATCGTATCGTACATTAATTTCGTCGATTACTTTTCATCACTCCTTTGAAAAACTGAATTCATTTTGTTCCATGCACAATGTTGGATACTTACAATTCGCTCCGAATGCAGTGAGCCGCTGTCAAAACAAAGCGATTTGTTATTACAGAACCGCCACACATTGTGTTCTTCTGCGAATTGAGTAGTATTGCCATCCACGGAAATTCACCTAGCATAGCATCTACGCCATTAAATACACGAGTATTGTCCATCGACCCACAATTGTGTTGATTGAGTAAAGCGAGTCCAAGAGAATTTAAGGCTTCATTTTCCAATATTGTGGCAGGTGTTGTAGATGTGGTAGTTGTTGTAGTTTTTATAATGCGTCTTCCCGGGCGACGTTGTCTTCTTAAACAGCAGACAACATCACCACTCTAAACAAAATACAAATAAACATACTTATATAATAATCACGCAATAGATATGCTTACAAGTCCAGAACGTTGACAATCTGCATTATTTCTAACAATATCCGGCGATGTACAGTTTTCATACAATAAACAGGTTCCGTAACGGTTATTTCCTTTGCAATAGTAAGTGTCTTGAAAATATTAAAAAATAAATAATTTAAAATATTAAAAATTTTTAAAATAGTAAAAAACTTACAAGCACTGTTTAAATTCAAACCACAACAAAAAAGAAGAATTATAGCCAATAAGCTAAGTTTAAGGCCGTCCATTATAATAACTGCACAAGTTGCGTACGCTTCGAAAACTGCTTGGAGTTTTGCGAAACCAGAGTTTTATATAAATACTCAAGCTTTGGTCTGGTGCAACGTACAGTTCTCCGTAGAGATAAGCTATATTTGCAAATATTTCAAGCTCTCACTGGGTAGACATACTAACAATGATAAGCCATTATTTCCAAGAATTTTCAAATATAAAATGTTCTGCATAAATTTGGTTTATAAATAAAACTCAGTGAAAAATTATTGAAGATTTTGATTACTTTTAACATTTGATAGTTATAGACTCGGGAAGGAGTATGTGAGCTCGAATCAAAGTTGCGAAATAATTCGTTTGATCGATTCGCCAGCTGACAACATCAAGCCAAAAATGTGTATGTGCCGTTTCAGACAGGGATGCAAAAGAGTCTGATCTTTTTCAAATTTTCTTTTGGTGTCGCTCTGGGCATTCACACGGTCAAAAAGAGTCCAGCAACTCGAGTCTAGTTTTTCTGCATTCCTTTTCACAAAATGTTCGTAAATATTTGTGCGGTTCGACTGCGCAACACCGCGCAACACTGCGTGCTGCGTATTTCATTTGTATGTTGAGATGATGGTCACACATTTTGCTTGCAATGAATTACCATGAATATGGTAGAACAATATGCATAATACAAGTACCTACCCGCTAAATAGTTTCAAAAAAATACTAAAGACGGGAATTCCCTAATCCACAAGAATGTATTGAATATCCGCTACTAATATTTTCAAGGCCAAATTTATAATAGGAATTTCCTAATCTTTAGGTATTAAAAACTCATAATTTCTTTACTCCGTATTAAAAATTCATAATTTCTTTACTCCATAATCTATATCTTAATTTTCTCCTTATTTACAATTTGTCATAATATTTCTATTATTCTATGCATACGTATTTGCATATTACATACAAAAATAGATAACAGAACTCAAATTTGCGATCGAATTCATTTGAAACCGAGCGCTCTTGCAACCATTCAAAGGATTTGAAAGTGAAAAGGAATGCTGAAAAGGGTAGCAGCGAGCTGTTACGAACAAGAACACAAAGCGTGCCACCCGAACACGAGTGGCACGGTCCCTTCGTCTTTCCTCGTCGTCCCCTCACCCACAATAAACTGGTATGAGACTCATTTGCGTCCCAATGTGAAACGGCACTATGTTGCATGAGAAGTTCTCTCAGCTTAAAATAACCAACAAGCGTTTGAAAGAGCCTTAATAATCAGCTAGTTGAGTAAAATGAGTGTAATGTAATGTAACAATTTAACACTGTTTGGAGCGGTCAATAAAATGAGCGCGATTACAAGTGTTTGGTAATGTTCAGAAGCTCATAATATTCGCTAGAAAATTTTTACAGTAACTGCTAACAATTGTTTTGAAGATGAGTAATTTAAGATTAGTTATAATGGCGTAAAGTAAAGTTAGACATGCTAGACAACCTGAAAAGGTTAACTCATTTTTTTGAGCGGCAGCTCTAGAGCTATATTCATATTTTTTGTAGTTTTGCAGTTTAACTTAACCTACAAATAACATTTATACATAATAAATTTCACAAATGTCAAAACATTAGTTCATAAGAGCTAACATTTCTATTCATGGAATTTTTGAAATTTTATAGAAACGAAATAAAATATATTTCGTATTTTAATGATTTTTGTTCATGCTGCTGAAACAAAAAAAAAAACACAACTTAAGAAGTGTTACTCGGTAGCATTATTGCATTATTTTACTTAATATATAAAGTAAGTGCTCATAAATTAAAAGAGCACTGTGCACAATAAATAAAAAAACTAATTTGCGACCAAAATTTTTTAAAATCTGTCGAGTAGTTTGCGAGTTATGAAATTTTACATAAATGTATGCGCTGCCATGCATATTAAACCATTTTGGCGTGATGCTTGAATATTTTGTTGCTATGTGAAAAATTATAAATAATGAAAAGCCACAAGCTAGAAATGAACTATATATTTTACGATATTGAAACCGCATTTCAAAAATAATGCTACTTTATTTGGAATGTATTAAAAATTGCAATTGCCGAAGTTGACCAATTTACTTACTCAGAAGAAATTATCAGCATTTTTATTTCGCGTTCATATCTATATTATATTTTTTTACACAAATACGAAGAACATGGTTGTTTTTTTTTTAACTTAACAAAACTACGAATCCTATGGAAAAAGTTAAATGGTGAAGTTTTAGGCAATAAATAAAGTTACAACTTACGATTGGATACTTATTGGTTATTTTGTTACTTTGTTTAGGTTATGTGAACCTCAAAATTTATTTTAAAATTCAAATTACTACGCTTTTAGGTTTTTATGTTTAACTATTACGAAAACTTTTTTTCTTTCATGAAATTTACAGTGAAGTAACCTTTGTGTGTCCCAACCAATCTGTAATTTTTGCTAATCAATATATTTATTTTTCCATCCTATCTTGACCTACAATTAAGGGCAGAACCTCTATTTTCAATCGAAAAAGCTCACTTAAAAATAACTTTTTCAAATTCGAAAAGGAAAGTACAACAAAAACTTTGAAGATTATTCCAATATCAAACCTGATTTCTCCTACAAACGATACCTCTCATTCTCTTTTGAACTATAAAAGTTATATCTTTAATCGGATTTCGGACTCCGCCAGTGCTCCGAACTATCCTCAGGACCGAAGACAGTTAAGCGAAAAATTGAGTGCTATAACTAAGCGGAAATTAAACTATAGAACTGAAACTTTTCTCAGAAGAGCATAGTGAAGAGAGGCATCATAGGTAGTGGACGTAGGGAGCTACCCTTTATAGATTTAAAGTACAGATCTCAGAAACTACTAAAGGTTTATTAAACAAAATTAGTGTGAAAACGGATGAATTCTGCTAATAACCAAGTCCACACCTTATATAAAGGTTATTAAATAGTTTAGTACTAAAGTGCACCACAACACTCACCACTTTCACACGCTCCCGAAATGAAACAGAACAAATATGGTTAAAAAATTAATAAAGGCTTTTCCAACTTGCAATTTTATTTAGTCTTTCAAACTATAAAGTTGTTTAAAAATTATTTGAAAAACGAGATGAAAATATAGATATCCGGGTTGGCGCACAACAGGACTCAGCTGAAGCGTATACGACGGCGATCGATCGAAAAAAAGGGCCCGTGTCCAATCGTCCATCCCTTTTGTTCGTTGGGTAGTGGTGAGATCGTGGGTGTGTTGAAGGTGTGGTGTGTGTTGGTATCCCTCGGTGAATTGTGTAAAGTTGTATGTATTGGTGTGTGGTGTTTTCAGGAGTGGATGGTAATGTTGTGGTGTGTTGGAATTTATCAGTGTTGCTTGTGAAGTGGTGTGTGGTGCGTGTGCAGGGATGTTTGCTGGGAATAATATATAATAGATAGCTCATTTAGCCAGTTATGTTGAAAACTACTAAACGATAACTTACTGGAGAAAAACGTCAGAAGCATTAAATTTGGCAGCTAAGTTGGCTTAAAAGGGTTGCTTGAGAATCGGTATAAAAGTTGAATAGTGGGTGCGGCTACGACAACTTTTAGGCGAAATCTAATACCTCAGTAACTAGTAGAACCAATGAAGATATCAGAATAAACTTTGCAAAAACAGTGGCTCTAATATTTTCTATGATCTAAACATTCGTCTAAATCGGGTCTTAAATTTTCCAGCCCCACATAACAAATATGTGCACCTCACTGATTTTAGATGGCTTGATGAAATTCATATGTTGAATATTATGATAATAATGTGAACTTGTGCCATAAATGGATGAAATCGGTTCAAAACTTGAGCTAACCACATATAAGGATTTTTCAATCTTCCGGTTGACTATATACCGATATACGTCATATACTTTCCAGTTTCTTTTCCAGTTGACTTTATACTGATATTATGGTCAATGTGTGTGATATTTCAATGAAATTCAGTAAACTTGTTTTCTTTAACATAAAGTGACTAACCGCTGAATCGGTCTAAGCTTGGTCTAGACCCCATACCAATAATATAATGTTTTTTGCCTCTCTGATTGACTTTTCCTCCATATACTTACTTAATAACCCAACGATTACCCTCCTCCCGCCCAACCAACGCGAGGGGCGCAATCCGCATATGTGCGCATAACTGCTCAGCTACAGAAACAAAAATTCCAACAGCTAAGATCTAAAGTTACAATATAATAAATTGTTACATTTTCATTTATTAAGAGAAAACAATAAAGTCTTTTTAGTTTTGAAAAGTGAGTCAGATAAGTCAAATGTGCTGGAATGAGAATTAAAATCATGACATATACGGCGGAATGGCTCGTTTAGTTCAAAATTTGATCTACAGGATTTTAGCAGTAAAGGTCTAAACTGCCTCGAAAGGCGAACCGGGATATTAAATTTAATTTCAGACAGGAGAAAAAAACTGCAAACAGTTCCATTCAAAAGTTTCACTAAGAATGTTATGCCAAGCATTTCCCTACGACTAGAAAGTGTAGGTAGATTAATAAGTTTTAGACGACTAGTGTATGGAGGTAGACATACCCTAGCATCCCATCGGAAATGCGCTAAGGCGAAAAGTAAAAATTGTTTTTGAACCGACTCTAACTTGTCAGAATGGATTTGGTAGCTAGGGTTCCATACCACAGAGCCATATTCCAATATAGGTCTAACCAAAGTTGTATAAAGTGTTTTAGTAATATACGGATCTCTAAATTCTTTAGACCAACGTTTAACAAAACTGAGGACAGCTTTTGCTTTCAAGACCATGGTATCAATATGAAGACTGAAATTAAGCTTAGGGTCCATATTAACTCCCAAATCAACATAGTTTAAAACTTGCTCTAGAATATGGTGTTTTATTACATAAGAAGAGGGGTGCACAGATCTACGGGAAAAGCACATCGTCTTACATTTATTGAGATTCAATGGCAAATCATTTCTATCACACCATGCAACCAAATTGTTTAAGTCTGTTTGCAACAGACACCTTTCCTCAGTTGAAGTGTATGATTTAAAAAGCTTTACATCGTCAGCGTATAATAAAATTTTTGAGAATTCTATTACTGAAGAGATATCGTTAATAAACAACAAGAACAGAATCGGGCCAAGATGACTACCTTGAAACATTAATTGTATCTGAAGGTGTATCCTCAAATATCACTCGTTGTGTTCTATTATAAAGATAGGAAGATACCCATTGAAGGAATCTTGGCTGAAAGCCCAGCAGATCAAGTTTATGTATGAGAATCGAGATATTTACTTTATCGAAAGCTTTGCTAAAGTCTGTGTATATAACATCCGTATGCTTATGTTCCCTAAAACAGCGACTTAGGTATTATATCTGTTAACATTCTATTCTTCAGTAAAAAAAATTTTGGTCATCGGTACGTAACTATCCACGGCACTCATATTCTGAGTTGGTTATATTTATATGAATATAAATAGCTCGAAAACTAAGTTATCCTACTCATAAGTTAAGCTAGATACCAAAAATATTTAAGTGTGATCTATTCACAATTTCGTCCAATAACAAATTTTGATTTTTTTTCCAAATTTTTTTATTACGAAATTCCGCCAACTCCTGAAAATATGCCACAGTTGTGATCTTTGAAAATTGCGCGACTATTAAAAATTCGTCTACAACTTGTTCTTAAATAAATTATAGTAAAATGGAGGTTTTTTTCAAATACTTTATTAAGCCGAGATCATCTTAAAATAGTATTCGTTATCCAAGGCATAGCATCGGTGACATTTTCGTATGGATATGGTATTGAAGTTAACCTGCCACATTCTTTACTACCAAGGGAAACCAAACCAATTTGTATATAACGTTTTTTCCAGAATTTGACTCCCATGTACCTGGTTTCCCAAAATATGGGACTACCAGAATCACCCTGACAAGAAACCGTACGATTTGCACCAGACTTAACACAAATCTTCGATATGCCTATATTATATTTTGAGTATAATTTTTGGCAAATATCCAAAGCTTCGAGTTTGACATGACCTTTCTGTAGAATATCAGATCCGCGCACTATATATGTATATGTGAGTATTTTATATAATAATATTTGCGCTCAGTTTTAAAGCTTACCATCATTAGTTTCTGTTAGTCCCCAACCAGCTAACACTAAATCATCTGTTGGCAACATAGCGTAATCACTTCGTGATGTGAGCAACCAAATAGGTTTGATATGATGGTGAACTTAAGGAAAAAATTATATTAAAATGTTTAATATTAATAACATATAATCACGAATAGTTTATATTAAATCAATATATAAATGTATTAATGAGAAAATTGTGTATCTACCTTCAAAATCTATATCTCTATCAAGTTTTATCAAAGCAACATCTTTATATTTGCTCACGGTATCGTAGTCGGGATGTATAAACGGTTGCTGCATTGGATCTATACCAAAGTCTACATATGTGTGACATACATTGATTGACAAACAATCTTCTTCGGTTGACAGGTCATGTTCGCCTAAGCGCACAAATTGACTGCAAATTTAGCGAAGAAAATAATATATTGTAGTAGTACATTACCAGCGATGAAAAATAATTTTGAATATGAAGTCTACTCATTGGATATAAGGAAATCCTATACATATTGGTGGTATTGACTAATATTTAGAGGAAAAAAGTCAGCCATTGATTCGGAAATCCTCGTATTCAGTATAAGAGGGCTTAATTTGTTATATTCTGATTTGAAACATTTTTAGAGCAGAGTTGCTACAACTAGATATCAAGATATCTTAACGAAATCTGGTACAAACTATTGTCTAAGATAACGCTACAATTTGCGAACAAATGAAACAGATCATATCACTATAGCATACGACTGCCATACGAACTGACTTATCAAAATTAAGATAAAGAACTTTTGTATGCTATACGCAATGAATCTGCGAAGGCTGATATAGCTTCTGTGCAGTCGAAGTTAATGTTTTTACTTGTTTTCCTTTCATTATAATATCCCATATATTATTTCGTTGATTACTTTTCATCACTCCTTTGAAAAACTTAATTCATTTTATTCCATGCACAATGTTGGATACTTACAATTCGCTCCGAATGCAGTGAGCCGCTGTCAAAACAAAGCGATTTGTTATTACAGAACCGCCACACATTGTATTCTTCTGCGAATTGAGTAGTAATCCTATCCACGGAAATTCACCTAGCATAGCATTTATGCCATTGGCCACTCGAGCATCCCACATTTAAAAATTAATAAATTAAATAAATTAAAAAAAACAAATTATTTTTTAATTTTTTGCGTTTATTCAACTCACCAGCATTGGTCAAATTAAAACCACAATAAAAAAGAAGAATTATAGCCAATATGTTAAGGTGAATGCCCGTCATTATAACAACCGCACAAGCTGATTACTCTTCGAAAACTGTTTGGAGTTCTGCAAATCGAAAGTTTTATAAAAAAAGTTAAGCTTTGGTTTGGGTGCGTGCAGTTCTAGTATTCTCAAATATTTCAATGATAAACCATTATTTCCAAGAATTGGCCAATATAAATTCTTGAAATACTATTTCTGTAAAACTGTTTTGCATAAATTTGTTTTATAAATACAATTGAATGAATATTTATTTGTGTTTTTGGCTATTTTAAGCATTTGACGGAGATCGCTAAATCGACTCAGCTCGTCACGCTGTTCATTTATATACAAGTATACTCGTATATATTTTTTACGGTATCCGACGTTTCCTTCTGGAACTTCTTCTGGTTGTTACCTAATTTTTTTCGGTTTTCAAATTTCAAGAAAATGTAAACTAGAAAGGTTAAATTTTTGGCTTTGCATTTTAAGTAAGTGTGAACATGAAATGAAGATCGGTCGCGTGCGTAGTTTGTAAATTATGAAATTTCACTAGCAAGTAGGCGGTGTCAAGCATATTATGCCATTTTCTGCTTAAATTTTGCTATGTGCAAAATTAGAAATGACGTAAAGCCAAAAAGAAAAAAGAAAATAAGAAAATAAAAGTAGAAAAGAAAATGTACATTTAATCGTAAATGATTAATATTTAACGATATTGAAACCGCATTTCAAAAATAATGTTACTTTAATAGGAATGTATTAAAAACTGCAACTGGCAAAGTTGACGGTCTTACTTTTCCCAGTAAAAGATATGAGCATTTTTATTTCGTGTACATATGTATATATTTATTTAAAAATACAAATATGTCACAAAAAATATGAACATAATTTGACTCTAACCACAAGTATGATGATGTAATTATATTTATTTATTTTAACAATGGTACTTCCATTTCCGCACACATCGTTACGTTGTTAAAGCATTAGATTGTTATAGCTGGAACCAGGACTGAAAGTAATGCATTAAAAGATTATTCATTATAAATTAACATTTATTAATATATTATTAAATTCATATTTAAATTATTATTTTTCCATTTGGTTTTAACGAAAATGTAACTAAAAAATAATAATCAAATTTCTAATCCGGTATTTGGATTGGAGAATAAAAAATAAAATTTTAATCCCAAAAATCGTATTATAAATAAAAAAAAATGAAAATTTTAACCCTAAATACCGTATTGAAAAATGAAATAATGTCTATCACAAGTTTATAATTAGTAATAAAAACAAAAAAACTTTATTTTAAATATTATTTGCGCTTGCATACTTCGTGTTCTACCATTTTAAACTAGAACTCGCACAGATTCATCATATTTAATACTCTAGAGCAGTGGTCGGCAAACTTACACACTCAAACGATTGTTATTTTATGAATTTTTATATAAGATTTTGGTATTAAAAATTTAATTTTCAAGCGCCAAAAAATGTATATACAAAAACATTTTTTTTATATATAAAATTAAATTTATAACTTTTAATTCCAAAAAAAAAACTTGTAATTAAAACTTTTTTTTAGTAAAAAAAGAATATTTAAAATTTAATTTATTTTAACTCCAATCTAATTTTTAATACAAAACTTTTTTATTAAAAAAAAGTTCTTTTGGTAACTAACATAAATGCTGTCACAACATTACAAGCTTCTTAAGATGATATTCGACATAATCAACCCGACTAACAGTGAATACGGAAGGAGTTGGTTGTACTTTTTAGCTCAACAAAACTACGTGTCCTATGAAAAAAAGTTGAATGGCAAAGTAACAAAAAATATAAAATATTAATAAAAAGTCTACAACTGTCGAGGGGATACTTTTATCATATCACTTTTACGTTGTACCATTTTTTTTTTCAAAAAGAAATTTGGGGTAAACTAACCTGTATATGTCCCAAACATGCTAAATGCATGTAATTATAATATAATATAATAAAGAAAATTTCTTTTTCCGTATTTTCTTGAATTAATATGTGAAAAAAATCCTAATTTTCAATCGAAAATGCACATTCTAAAATTTCTGTTTTCATAAAAGAATCGGTAAGTTTTTTTTCGTTGACATCTCTACTTTCTGATGGTGCAACAAAAAATTTATGTTCAATATTCGGTTTGCTCTGAAAATGCAAAAAAACACTGAACGATTCAAACCTGTTTTTTTATTTCAGCTACATGTTATTTCGTAGTAATGCCGTTTTAAAACCAAATAAACAGACTGAAAACATTTCCTACGATTTAAACGCCCTAAAACTTTTATTACAATTAAATAAATTCCTAATCATAATATTTTTTATTCTTTTTAATGCCGTTTACAACTTTAAATTCGAAAATGCCGGAAGCATAATAAGTTATATCCCGTTACCTCCGATGATAACGGAATACCTCGAAAATTCCTCTATTTCAACAAACCGCCTAAATAAACATCAGCTGTTCAGATATGTCAAACAGGTGATGTAACTAAAAAAAAAAAACAAGCAATTTCTGTGTTTTTATTTATATCACTTAAGTAAACTTAAACGCGTATATTTAAAATTAATTATGTTAATTTTACGCCACTGGCGACAATTAAATGGAGCAACTCCATCAACGACTAGGAATTGGTTATGCCTACAAACAAATCATCAATACACAAAAGCAAAACAATGCAGACAACACCGACAAATGGCCACCAGTGTCGGCGCCGCAGACGCTAAGGCTAGTTTAGAAATTAATGGACAAATTTATCCAACAGACGATTGGACAAATGTGACGCCAAAAATATTATCCTGTTTGGGTGTGAACAAACATTTGCAGCGAAATCATCCGCTGTCAATTATACGTCAACGTATTATTAATTATTTCTACGCCTGCTATAGAAACTCACGCGGCAATCCATTATTTTCGGTTTATGACCAGTTAAGTCCTATTGTGACAGTGGAACAAAACTTTGATAACTTACTATTTCCCGCTGATCATGTAAGTCGTGCCAAATCAGATTGCTATTACATTAATCAAAATCAATTATTGCGTGCCCACACCACCGCACATCAAGCCGACTTAATAGCTTGCGGTCTAGATAATTTTCTAGTAACAGGTGAAGTGTATCGACGTGATGAAATCGACTGCACCCATTATCCTGTGTTCCACCAATTAGATGCAGTTCGATTGGTTACGAAGGACACACTTTTTGGACGTAATCTAGATTTAGAAATATTTGAAAATGATTGGCAATTCAAAGTTAAAAACGCTCCACAACCTGAACCATCTTCAAAGTGTTTAGATCAAACGAAACAAATATGCCATACACTTGAAGCAGTTAAATTGATGGAACACGAAATGAAAGATGTGCTGGTTGGCCTAGCGCGCGATTTGTTTGGTGCGCAATTGGAATATCGTTGGGTGGACACATATTTTCCATTTACACAGCCTTCCTGGGAGTTGGAAGTACTTTACAATGGCAAATGGCTTGAAGTGCTTGGATGTGGTATTATGCGACACGAGATACTACAACGTTCAGGCGCTCACAATAATATAGGTTATGCTTTCGGTTTGGGCTTAGAGCGTTTGGCAATGGTGCTCTTCGATATACCCGATATAAGGCTGTTTTGGTCGAATGATAGTGGATTTCTTACACAATTTAATGAGGAAAATTTGCATAAACTACCAAAATATAAACCCATATCCGTTTACCCGCAGTGCAGTAATGATCTTTCGTTCTGGTTGCCGTTGGGTATCGATGTGGATGCTGGTTTTGCTTGTAATGACTTTTACGATCTTGTGCGTTCAGTGGCAGGTGATGTGGTGGAACGAGTGAGTTTTAGAAAAACGTTAATTTTTTAATATTTTATAGAAAATGACGTAAAATTTTTCTCTCCTATAGATTAGCTTAGTAGATCACTTTAAGAATCGTAAAACAAACAAATCCAGCTTATGCTTCCGAATAGTCTACAGGCATATGGAGCGCACCTTGACGCAAGCAGAGGTCAATAAAATACACAAAAGCATAGCCGATGCTTGTGCTGAAACCTTTAAAGCAGAAATTCGATGAAATTGAAATGGTTTTGTTAATAAACTTTTAATTATTTTTTAAAGACAAACTTTTCGTTTGTTATTAATAGATCGGAGCACCAGGCAGTTAATTGCAAATTATATTAAATGTTATTTTTTTGTAATGTAAATAGCATAAAGCGTATGAACATAAGTAATGATTTTACGTTTTATATTATTCAATGTTATATCAGAGAATGTAGATTATACGTTGCATTTCAATTTATGAATGGATAAGGTGGCATCGCTTATTTTCAATAAAATAAATTAGGTGCAAACGTCATTTGCGTAGAACCGGCTGAGCTTTTGTTGTGGCACGTTAAATAAAAGGATTGTGATAATAAATAATTAATATTACGTTGAAGGCAGTTCAAATAAAGGTTGGCTTGTAATGATTCGGTACTCTATATCATTGGTCTTTTAAAGAGGTAAGCGCACGGTTGTGACAGTTGTTAGGGCGAAAAGGCATCACATTTTTGTCCATGACATATCACCTGACTATTTGACCGGCATTTAGTTTTCTCTAATCTTATTTATTAATTATCAATTGTTTACATATTCAGCAGACACAACTAATTTGGGCCGCAGTGCAACGAAACAGCCATAACCTAAATGAACAACAACGTAGTGCAACCACAAAGTATTAACGTCATCAATATTAACTTATCGCATCTTAATCGTTGATTCATTATTGCCTTGTTACCTCATAAAAAAAAATGACTGAGAAAATAACGAAATTAGCGCTAGCTAGTCGAGTGATTATATTGGTATTGCAGTTAATTGCAAACCACCTGATGCCTGATCACAAATCAGATGTATTTCGTTCACCGATTGCACAACAAACTCAAACTCAACATGTAGGAGTACTCGAAACCAACGAATTTATCACCCATAATGCCACCGAAAATTCTTGGCTAGATCGCACAGTACAATTTTGTCTTGGCGGCCTGCGTCACTGGGATGGTGAATATTTTCTACACATAGCAGAATATTCCTATTCTTACGAGAATACGCTCGCCTTCTACCCACTGTTTCCGCTGGTGGTACGTGCAGGCGCAAATGCTTTGTTTGCGCTCAATATGGGCGTTTCCTTGCGTAGCTGGTGTTTGGTCGTAGCCGTATTGGTTAATGTATTTTGCTTCTGCAAAGCAGCTAATGCACTATATGCGCTCACACAGCGCATTTTTAAGGACCCAAATAAAAGTTGGAATGCAGCATTACTGTTTTGTTTCAATCCAGCATCAATATTCTTCACTGCCGCATATTCGGAGGCGCTTTTCTGTTGGTTATCGCTACACTTGATGTTGGAATGTGTTTCCGAATTTCGATTTGCGCGCACCACAATAACACTGGCACTCTCTATTGTGAGCCGTTCAAATGGTCTACTCAATGCAGGCTATCCCATATATTTTATGCTGCGGCACACCATACTCAAGTCATATCAACGCTGTTTTGCTGCTGTAAAAATAACACTTTGTCTGATTGGTGCACTAACGCCGCTCACATTCTTCTACTTTTACGCATTCAAACAGTATTGTGTACCGCATCATACAGTAGCGCATTCAGAGGCTGTGCTGAACTATGCACGTGAGAAAAATTACATTTTAGCTGGTCATCGTATGCCGCAAAACTCACCATGGTGTGATAATACTTTTCCATTTCCATATTCATACATACAATCACACTATTGGAATGTCGGTTTTCTACGTTACTACGAGCTCAAGCAGTTACCGAACTTTATGTTGGCTCTGCCTGTGCTCGCGTTCCTGCTGTATCATTGCTTTACGTATTTTAGACATTTCATGCGTATCCTACTGCCGCATTATCCTAACATGCAGCTATTAAAAGAATATAAATCGTTGCCATTTGTACTGCACGCATTGGTTCTCACACTATTTTGTACTTTTTTCGTGCACATACAAATATCAACACGGTTATTGTGCTCAGCTACGCCATGTCTTTATTGGTTTGCTGCCGATCAGCTGCCCAAGACATTTGATCTAATCAAATTGCGCTCAAAAGCTGGTTCTATACTAGTATGGTTTACAAGTTACTATTTAATTGGCACAGCGCTCTTCTGCAATAATCTACCTTGGACGTAAGGTAATGAAAGATTTGGACTTTTATAATATTTAAATGCAAAACTTCGTGGCGAATATGTGTGCGCGTGACAGTGAGAGCATTGTAAGTGGAATAGTTTCTAATAACAATAGCTATTTATGCTTGCTGTTTATTAATTATATAATATGTTTATTTCAGATTAAATTTATGCAAAGCTTAGCATCACAACATCCTCATCGCATCATCGGCATTAGCACTCCAAATAGCTGAACGCTCATTAACCAAAAAAGTAATTAAAATAAAATTTAATATCAATCAAATTGACTAATTTATTTAGCGCTTATTTTTAATTCTTTTTTTTTTTTAATTAATTAATTAATTTTATCTTAAAAAATTAAGACATTGTACATGTGCGGCCTTATAATAAGAAAGAGAAATTAAGTATACCATATATAAAAAGTATAACTGTAAGAGACTGCGTACTAGTGTACATTAATGCTGAAAGCCGTTTAAGAGAGCAAGTACTTTTAACATTTATATTAATTAGAAAAATTAATTATTTGAAAAGTATAAAGCGCATAAAAAACAGTTTGCTAACCAAAAATTTGTAGTTATATTAAATATGTACATACATACATTCTTATTGAATTTGCCTGATGATTTTACATTTTTAAATATATTCCGTAACATATCTTTTTAAAAACATTAGCCGATATAAGCTTCAAAGGCAAATTGAAAATATTTTAATATAGCACATTTTTAAAATGAATAAAGTGTATTTAAAATACCAGAAAAATTGCGTAGTTTATTTCAAAAAAAAATTCTAAACTTAAGTCCATAAACCGCACACCAAGTGTGAAATTAAAATTAATTTTTTTCATATAACAATAGTTTATAGCTGTAAAAATAACATGCTAAATCGATGATTCAAATAGTATTTGAGTAACAGACTTCTAAAATATAACCGTTCAATTTAAGAGTGTATTCTGCACTAGAAATACGAAATAATCGATTTTTTTATATTTTTAAGAATATGTCAGAGGACCTGTCAGAGGCAACTGTTCAAAACGAAATCCACGAATTCTCAGGTTCTACAGAACCGGTTTACTTCAAAGTTTTAAAGTCTTCTTTATAGACTTGTCTATTTCTGAAACTATCAGCAAATTTCAATTTTTACTATTTTTAAAAATTTCGAAAACGTCAAGTGGTACAGAAATTGTTTTTTTTACGGTAGTCGCCATTTTGTGAAACATTTTTTTCTAAAATTTTTCGTAGAAACAGACAGTGCGACATTATTCTAGATTATTAAAATTTATTTTAGGTTTTAGATTGCAATCTTGGGTATAGTCACATGCCACATTTTTGAGACCGCCTCACTTCATCAGCTGCTAATTTTTGAAATTTTTCATTTTTTGATCTTTTCTAATTTTCTTGGTAATGTTAATGAATAACTAATAAAAAAAAGTGCATTAAAAAATTAATTATGTCAAAAATTAACTGAGATTCATGCTCCTAGACTAGAATATGCTCTTAATCCGTTTAGCTTTAAACTCGTTTTCCGAATTTCTGCAGTGATTTCTCAGAGTTCAGCGGATTTTTTGATCTGAACAAAAATCGAATTTTATCAGCCTAAAAACTAACAAAAGTTCGTATAAAATTTCGCTTTTTTTTTAGTTGTTTTTTCAAAATATTGCCTAACGTTTGTATAATTTTCTTCGCTTCCTCTCGCTCCTAACAAATAAACTAAAATTTAATTTTTTAAGATTTTTTATTTATTTATATAATATTTTTACAAATTTCGTATGCTAATTATGCATTAATATATTGATGGCGATGAGAAGGTGGTATATGTTTTATTACATAAAAGTTACACATTAATGTAACCTTTGGTATTTCTCTTTGCATATGTTTTTGTTTTTTAATTCACGCATCGACAAAAGTAAAAGAAAAAAATTAAAATAAACAATACCACAACTTATAACGTAGAAATAATACAAACAAAAAATCATATACGCTTCATATAGAAGTAAAAAATTCACTGTGGTTTATAAAACATATTAATTCACATATTTTAATTTTTATGTAGTTGCTTGCAACTTTTATTCCTGTGATGTTTAAAAACTTACAACCTAAACAAGTGGGTAGCTCGAGGCCGAGGCAATACCGCATTGATTTTCCTTGTTGCGCGCCATCTTAATATAACCTTTGTCACCCCAAGTGGTGCCCCACGAGTTCTTTACCAGCCAGTAGTCTTGACCACTGGGATCAGTGCCATAGCCAACTACCAATACACCGTGATCCAATTGCTCGGCATCACAAAGTGGCTCATCGTAAATACCTTCGGAGTAAAATTGGAATGATTCATGTGATGCATCGATAGCTACGGAAACTGGACCAATTGTGGCAACAGCTTGCTTCATTTTCTCCTCATCGCCGGCTGGAATGTCGACAAAACCGCGATCGGTGGCACCAACGGTGGATGGATTGTAGTGACAGGAATCATCAATACCCTCATATGGATAGGATTTCTCCGTATCTAAGCCACCATTATCCTTAATATAACGGAAAGCATTATCCATCAAACCACCATTGCAACCATTGTTGTTATATTTGGTAGAGCAATCGACCAAATTCTGTTCGGACAGCGAGACTAGTGTATTGGTTTTGCGGAAATGCTGACCTTCAAGTGCGCCAGTTGAGGAGAAAGCCCAGCAGGAGCCGCAGTGACCTAATTAAAAGCAGTAAAATTATTTAAAATTGTTATAAAAGAAAAAAAAAAAAAGATTATAATTACCTTGATCCTTGATATCGGTAACAGCACCATGCGAACGCCAATCCACAGATGTCGGTACAGTAACATGAGCTGGTGCAATGAAAGTGACGCCGGTGAATTTTCTGTTACTACTGCTTGAACAGCGGAAATTTAATTATTTTCCGGTCAAATTTTTTTATAATAAAATTTTTTTTTTTTGAAGTTGCTTAACACTCACCGCAGTTGCTTTCTTAGCGTGTTGTTGTAGCCATTCATTGTTTCACGGAATTCACTATGTAACATGTCGGTATATTTGTTGATTGCCATTTTAAATGACGCTTTGCCCGTTGCGTATAATTGATTGTGCTTGGCAATCTTCAATCTGTTCTCATTGAAAATTTTCAAACGGAAACGCTCTTCAACTTCGTTCGAGTAACGCTTCTTGTGTTCCATCTGCAAATAAGAAAAAAATCCAGTTGGCATTAAAAATTTAAGGAATTTTATAAATATTACATGTTTATTATGAAAAATAAAAATAAAAAATGTAAAAGCGAGGAGAAATCATTTACTAGCGCTCTGAGCTCTTAAGGGAGTGTGGTTATGGCATTTTTAAGCGTAAAAAACGCTTTATCTCCATTTTCGCAAAAACTACAAGTCGCATGAGACAAAAGTTACATGACAAAAATTGTAAGTAATTAAAAGATCTACAACTTTCAAGTAACACTTTTATACATAACCTCAAAATTTATATGAAAATCCTAATAAATAGCTTTTTGGTTTTAAAATATTTTTGCTTTCATTAAATTTGGCGTAAACTAATCTTATTATGTTCGTTCGTTCAATTTGTATGGCAGCTATATGCTATAGTGGTGCAATCTGAAGAAATTGTTCGGAAATTATAAAGCGCTGTCCATGCCAAATTTCGTGAAGATCTCTTGTCAAATAAAAAACAGTTTTGCATGTTGAGCGTATAAAAAGTTAGACAGTTTACCACCAACAGAGAAGTGTGTGCAATAAAAGTGTGCGTGTTTGAACACAGCCTTAGTTGGTACAGCGTTCACTAGCAATGATGGACGCTTTCTGCAGTGCTTTGTAATTTATGACAGGAACATGCATATAAACAGCAATTTCGTTTATGGCGGAGGAAATGCATATAAACATACATGCATAGAAAAAATATATTCGCAAGTACAGATAAGCTAAGGCCCAACTGCAGATTGCCAATCTATCGTTTAATTATTTGTATGCTAAAAAAATTAGTAGCATTCGGCCATTTATCTCAATCTTACATTGACAAAAAATGTCGTAAATATACCACTTCTTCAGCGGGTTTATTGTTGATTCTTCAATTAAGATACGATCCGTCAAGATTTTGTATGGTTAAAAGTGATAAAAGTACCGTTTGTTTAGTAGCCTTAAGTGCAGTCCACAAAACGTATTTTCGTGAAAGAAGGCAATCTTAATTAGAGTAAAAAATTTTGAGTAGAACCTGCCATTCTTCATGATAATGCAAGACTTGCTGTATGTATGTACTTCATGATAACCATAATTAAAATATTTTCTTTGACATTTGTACATTCGCTTTTTGAGTTATACTATTGATTGAGGCCTCAAATTGCTCGCAAACTTACAAATTTAAGTTCCATAAGGAATTTGAGCACAAGTTCAATAATATCAGACAGCGACATGAGAACTGAAATATAGCCACAATTATTTTTTAACAAAAACAATTAATTCGTACAACAACAGCAAGACACAAAAATTACAGCAGTTTGACATTTGATCTCCCGAAAACATGAAACTAAAGCCGCGGCAACTTTGTATGAATGCGTAAGAAAAAGTTAAGCTATTTTGCAGAATAGAATAGAAGAAGCATATGAAAAATTAAACCCAAATATGCAAATTTAGTTAAATTCATATCAAGTTATGTCACAAACATGTGCAAAGCCAAATTAATGAGCTCGAAAGCACGTTTGTTCTGTAATGCCGCTAATTTTCGAAGAACACATTAAAAGCATTGCTTATCAGCAGGTATGTAACACGTTCATAAATTATTGTCTCTATGCCAGGATTGCGAATTTGTAATTAAAAAATTTTTGGTGAAAAATAAAATTTTCAATTTTTAATTTTTATTTCAGCATTAAAAAAAAATTAAAAATGTAATATTTAATTGCAAAAATCGAATAACGAAAACTGGAAATTTATTTCAAACTCAAAAATAAAATTAGAAGTTGAAAAATATTTTTTGAATTAAAAAATTGATATTTTAAATTTAAAAATTGATAAAACATTTGCTTTATTTAAAATATATATATCTATATACATACATATATATATTTTTTTAATTCAAAATTTGGAAGCAAAGGTGTTAAAAAAGTATAGATATATATTATATATAGGTATACTTCTCATTGAAACCCTATAATTAAATTTAAAAATTGATAAAACATTTTTTTATTTAAAAATTGGCGTAACAATTAAAAAAAAAATTTATATTAAAGCAAATATATTTGTTTTAATTCAAAAACTGGAAGAAAAAGTGTTAAAAAAGGATAGTAATTGAAACACTATACATTAAAAGAAATGAAATGTAAAAAAAAGAATTAAAAAAAGAGTAATAAAAATAAGCTTTCCCTTTGCAAAGCGAACCAAAATTGTAGAACAAGATGTACGCAAGCGCAAAATAATTTATAATACAAAAGCACAGTAATTTTTGATTTAATTCAAAAACATAGCTTTTTTAAATTAAAAAAAAAAATTGGAATTTATGGTTTTTAATGTTTTTTTTTAATTGAAATTTTAAAATTTATAGTGTTTTTTTACATTAAAATTTTAAAATGTTTAGCTTTTTTTAAACTTAAATTATAAATTGGAATTACATTTTTTAAATTATTTTTGAAGTCAGTATTTTGGTTTAAACTTTTCAAAATTTGGGTGTTTTTTATTTTAAATTATAAATTGGAAGAAACATTAAATATAATTTTTTATTTTTTAAGCCAGTATTTTTAGGAGATTGTAGCGCTGCCTTAGATAATATTCCATGCCGAATTTCGTGCAGATATCTTGCATTTTAATTAGTAACTGTCTGTTAGCTTATGCAATTCTACAACAAAGATACTCGTTATTATAATTGTGTAAATGCACTCTTTCAAGTGATCTGGGTGACACGAAAGTTTCAAGTGTAAAATCAAGTTAGCATATAAATTAAAATTATACTGCACAATTCGCTCAGCCAAGTACTAGACAAAAAAAAAAAAAACAAAAAATTTCTTTATTAGCCTGTCACGCTTAATTTAATTAAGAGGAACTTGCGACAAAGTCAAACCAGCGTCATTGTATGTGAGTATGAGCGTCCACTTTTGTCTCAAGTGCTATGTATGTTTGTATAGTTATGCGTTTTAGTAGGCGATTAGCCTACAATTTTTATCATTTATTCAAGTGTTTAGCTTTGCAAATACCGTAAGCAGACCGGCTGAGTGATAAGATGAGTGCACATTTGGGTGTTCTTATCGGCGCCACTAAATAACCGTTAGTAACCGAAATGATGAGAGCAACGAGTCAATTACTTACAAGGTTACGTTATTATTTGATTATGTATATAATTCAATTTTTGAGTGGATACTTAGTGCGCATATATTATTGCATTAATGTTGCCAACTGTTACGATCCCGTGATTTTCGGGATTGCATTATAAAATTTTCGCTTTTATTCTATTATTCTGATTTATAAATGCATTACTAAGCAACAACTTAATTCGAAGATAATGCAGCAATATTTTTATACCCTCAACAGGGTATATTACATATCCAGAGTCCATCAGTTTTTGAGATATGAATCTGAAATTTTGTACACGTCCTTGTCGTCTTGAGAAACTGCTCATTTGTTGGAACTGCCGATATTGGACCACTATAATATATAGCTGTCATACAAACTGACTGATCAAATTCAAGTCCTTGTATGGACAACTTTTTTATTTGACAAGATATCTTCACGAAATTTGGCATAGATCATTATTCAAAGCAGCGCTATAATCTCCGAATAAACTGTTTAGATCGGTCTACTATAGCATATAGCTGCCATATAAACTGACCGATCAAAATCTAGTTCTTATATGAAACTTTTTTTTTTGTGAAGGATATTATATCTTCCGTGCAAACGAAGTTTACGTTTTATCTTGATTTAGATAAATTTTTGGAATACTTTTATTTATTTAAGATTAGCATATAACATTGGTAACAAAAAATTACAATAACTTGTATTTACAGCTAATGCAAATAAATATCTTGCAAACAACTGAGTGCCGGGTTACCAAAATTGCCATAGATAATAGAGTAACATATAAGAAGCAAGTGTGCAGCGTGTTGTAATGGTTATCAGTGATTATAGTTGAGTGTGCCTTATCTAGATTGAGTAGGCTAATTGTTTAAAGGGTATTACCACCGCATTAAAATGTCAAATTTTTTAAAACATATTGTGAAAAGCCTGTACTTTTTATATGAGTGGTCAATAGATTAGATTCTCATAAGTAACATAACATAATCTGACTCTGACTGTGACTCGCATGAGTTGCAATGAGTTAAGTTATTGTCAAAAACTATGAAACTGCTTATATTTCATTATAATTATTTATTAGCAATTAATAATGGGGGCTGATAGGATATCATGGTTTCGAATAATGTATAAGAAATATAAGTATTGTACAAAAATTCATGTGATACATATAAATTATATGTATTGGACAAATTTCACAAATGGACCTTAGAAGCAAACAATGAAAACTAATTTTTTAGCCAGTGTGCTATTATAGCTTGAAACTTCGGAAGAACAATGAAATCTTCAAAGGTTAACAAACAATAATTTGGAAAAAATATTTGTGCAGAGAAACAGTTAATGGCCAAATATGCAATAAAGAGTAGATCACCAAATGAAGACGCTTATTACGATGCTCCCAGAGTACAATAATGACACACGATGCTGCTGATGCCTCTTATATGCCATCCAGTAGTAAAAAGGAGTAACTTAAGGGGTTATATCCACTTGTAAATTTCAAAAAAAAATAGTAACACATTTTGCATACGTACATACATATACTCGAAAATATTCTTCGAAAATTAAAAGTTGATCCGACAAATAGTTGCGGAGATATGAGCTTATTTGTAAGAATTTTTAAACTTAGTGTAATCGACTTCCAAAATTTTAAACACGTTTTTCGCGAAACGCCGTTCTCAGTCAGTGAGGTAAACTTTTCCGGAACGACTGGACCGATTAACTTGAAATTTTCACACGACTTTGCTAGATATATCTGTCAGGTAATGATCGAAGGAATAATTATATATAAAAAATTAATTTATGATAATTTTGATTTTAAGCCACTCTTTTTTCTCAAAATATATATAAAATTTCATAAATTTTTTACAAAAAAAAAACAACTTTTTTGAGGAAGCCACCATTTC